TTTTGGTTTTTCTCCGGTACCAGGAACCGAACTCACGACCTTGCGCTTGCCAGGCAGGCGCTTTGCGGCTGAGCTAAATCCCCAGCCCCTATATTTATTTCTTAAGGAAGGTACAAATGTTATCTCAGACTTTTGAGCGTGTTTGGTGAAATGAAATGTATTTTTATTGTTTTTCTGTGGCCATTGGTGTGGTTGCAACAAAGGTTTAAAACTTCAGCATGTGCTATGATGAATTATCCAGTGGGACTTCATGTCTTGTAAAAGGAAAAGAGGTGACAGATTGACATAAGGGACGGACAGTTGATGACTCAGACTTTGTAGTGTGCAGACTGAAGCGGGGAGGCTTGGAATCTTGTGGAAGTAGTCAAACTTTCAACTAAGACTTGGATTTCACCAATATTGAATCCAATAAATATTATTAATTCCCTTTTGATTCTCAGAAAGACACAGTCAAGTGAGTTTCCACGAAAGCTGCTACAAAATCTGACTGGCCATAAAAGTAACTGATTTCTTTCTTCAAAATGTAATTAAAATTTCTCTGAAAAAGACCTCATGTGTCTAATTGATATAGAGAGTCTGTTTTCAAAACTTAATCCAAAATTCTGGGGACTTTATTCTCTAAATTCTTACTCCTAATAATTTAAAATTTAAAATATATCAGAGCCATTAAATACTGTTACTACTGAAGAGTATTTCATATTCCTGAAGTATTAAGCTTTTTCTACTATTTTGATTCTGAGGCATTATATCTTTTGTAATAAGTTGAATGATATGCAACTTCATACATTCTCATTTTAATTTTGCAAAAATGACAAACTTGGGTTCAATTCAGTACTACTCTTTTGATGGTTACTTTTATAAATAACAAATTAGCATTGTTGAAGCAGAGCATCATTCCCTAGCGATGCATCAGTGGTCCATGTATGATATTTTACTTGATTGGAAGGTCAATGGTATTCATATATAGGCATCCAATTACATGATAGCCTTGATGTTTATTTTCTTCTCTCCATTTTAGTTTCCCTGCAGTACCAAATATAAACAAATCCAAAGTTTAACACTATCTCTGTTCACATGCATGTGTACAAATATATCCAAATATATCCAGAGAGATATTTTAAACAAAAGGATATCATACTACATGCATTGCAATGCAGCCTGCATTTTTTAAACTTAACATACAGGGGAATTTCCTGGCCTGATATTTCAAAATGGACACTGAGATACATTCGTGGATTGGAGGTGATGGGTGGAAATGGAGCTCTCCATAGGAAACATGCTTTCTCCTCAAAAAAGTAGGGTAGTTTAGAATCAAGTAGATTTAAAGCTCCGGACAACCTCAATATTTAATCAACTGCTAAATGCATGCATGCAAAACACTGATATGAACAGTAAGAATTAAAATTACTTAAGGACTCTTCAATCTTTTCCCATTTCTGTTCCAAAGCAAATTAACCTTATAAATAAAACCAAGGAAACCTCAAACTGCAACTAACAAGACAACAATGAGAGTAACCAAACCCCCACAAACCAGCCTTCAAAAGGTCTGAGTATCCTTTGGGGTCTGGGCACAGGATTTTGTGAGGCTTGCTTGGATCTTCTATAGCTTCAGCCACCTCCTGACACGTACTGTACCTGCAGGCTTGGTTAAGTCACAATAGATATTTATCATGAAGAGACCCATTGTATTGATATAGAAGTGTCACCTATTCCATTACTCTAGAGTGTATTTTTACCCTTGGCTTCAGGTTAATTTTAATTGATTAAGACTTTGATGTATTAGAAGGAGTTTTGCTAATTGGACTACAGGAAAGTTAGGTCTTTTTCAAAGCTAATATTTTACTATTCCTTTTTGGAATTTTTAGTGAAGAAGCAACCTACTTAAGATTCACTTTCCAGCCATTCTCTCTTCTTGATCCTTTGGTTTCCCCCAAAGAACACGTGAGTTATCTTAATGGACTCTATGTTACTTTATTTTGTGATTTAATGAAGACTGAAATAGTTTTTAACATTTGCAGTTACTCAACATATTTTTGGCAAATGACTGTAGTTTCTAATTACATTTTTAAATGTTTTCTCCTAGCCATCAGTTTTCTTTGGCTTCTTAGTTTTAGAACAAAGCAGAAGAGATAGAGGCTATTTTGGGGACAAGAAAAAGAACTTGTTGAAGGATATTTACAGCCACTATACTCATCCAACAAGATAATTCTGGAAAGAGAGAGGTCAGGTAAAGCCATTCAAGGGTGACGTTCTGTGAGTTAGTGATATTATACCTGCAGCCAATAGGTTTGGAGAACTTTGCACTCTCTTCACAGATGTTAACGTGACAGACATGGCAGCACGTTTGCGAGCACACCCACCGCTATCTGGAAGCAAAAAAATGACATAGCAGAGGCCAAGGCAACACAGAAAGCACATGCAATACCATGCATTTCAAAGGAAATGTACCAGGCATTCATGAGAAAGATGAACAGTCAGAATTAGTGACCATGGAGTACACCTGCAAATTTCACATCCATCCCCAAACTAAAACAGACAAAACAAAGCAGGGGTCTATTTCAGAAACAGATGTCAATAGTTTAGAAATTTGACATTCAGTGTTTTTGTTTTTTTGAGTTAGGGTCTTGCTAAGTAGTCCAGCCCAGGGTTAAACTTGTTATATTGCTCAAGCTGGCCTTGAATTTATAACCTCCTGCCTCAGACTTCTAGTTCTGAGATTACAGGCTTGTACCACCATTCCTGGATCTCAAATATCTTTTAAAAATGAAAACCCAGGCACAGAAGTAAATTGTGTTTATGTCACTTAAATTCAGCACATACTAACGCTATAAGCACTGTAGCTAGCTTTTGGAGTTTTGGACTATGTATATTCCTGGGTTGAAAGCTGTACTATAATGTATTAATCATTAAGGTAGCTGAAGGTAGCTTGAATAATTCTTGAACTAAAAGTTACTGTGGTAGAGAACTCCCCCAGCATACATGAGGATTTGGGTTCAATCTTCAGTACCTAAAAAAAGTTATTAATTGATATAGCATGCTATGTTTGATAATATATAATTTATAAAGAACATAGCACTATGGAAATTACATGTCTTTCAATAGTTATGAAAATTAACCTAGTTAAAATCAGAGACAGCACTGAAATATATTTTGAAACTGATATTACTTTTTCGATGTTTGAACAACATGTGTACCTTGACCTATACTGTATTTACATTTGAGCACAAATGTGAAGCAAAATAATTGAAACTACATTTGCTATTTTATGTGCTATTAGAAGTTTAGACTTCTAGATTTGAGAGAAAAGTCTCAAAATTGAAAGGTTAATGTCTATTTATGAATAGATTCCATTTCACATTCCTTTGTAATATGGCATGTGCAATAAATAGTTTTCCTCATTCCTATCATTTTGCTCATTAAAACAAAACAACTTTAATTGCTTTTTGAAGGTCATGACAAACGACAAATAATGTAATCACCAACAGACAACATGATTGTTACTTATTGACACATGCTATTTCTATTTTTTCCGTATTTCTCAGGGCAAATATCCAGTCTGTTTGTTAACCACAAGAGAATTGTGATTAGTAAAGATATATGGATGTATGATTTGAGTTAATTGTTTCTAAAAGTCACCATTTAGATGTCCTCAAAAGTTGTGAAATTATTGTTATATAAAATATATCTTTATATATTTAAAATTAAAACTTTTTAATATACAAAATAATTCAACCAGAACATGACTTTCAGAAACATTAAGTGAAAGTAAGCCAAATGGATCAAAATCTGTAATAGGGAATTAAAAGAGAAAGATACTAGTGGTAGAAACTTACATTGGAGATACCTCTCAGAGAGGCACCGAAAGCACTTTAACAAACTTGACAAGTCAAAAATAGCTACGAGAAGCAAATGTGTCTGCTACAATGGAGATAATGTTATTGAATGTAGAGTGCCTAGTAGCTACTGACTCGTCTGAAAAGGTTGGTTTATTCACGAGTGTTCAAAGTGAAAACTGACATTGCTCTAAGAGTGATTTTATTTTCCTATTATTTTGGTTCTGAATATCTGAAAACAAGCAGAAATAAGAACAGAAAATTTCACAACATATGGATCCAGCATCATTGGTTAAAATCACTAAGTAATTACTAAGTGATTAAGTTGTTTCTAAATAAAATTGCTAGGTACTGCATTTGGCTTAGACACATCATGAAAAAAAAATCACTGACTGAGACATTTTTCACTGTAAACCAAGAAAGTTTGGGAATCTTTGGGCTAAACAATTTCTGTGTTCTGGCCAGTTCCAAGACCTAGATCAAGAAAATACAGATGTTTCTGTTAACATTTATTAAAGAGATTATTTCAAAAAATTGTGGTTTGTGAAATTGGCAGAACAGAGAATATACTAAATTCGGTTTCCATTTATGTAGGAATTGATACTCTCTCTTTCCATTTATGTAGGAATTGATACTCATCAAGAACAATAATGGTGTCTCATCTTTGTACTCATTCACAGCTTGCAGCCCCTGTGGGTTGCTCTTTCACTCACTTTCAAGGCCCCTGGAAGCTGTCTTCTCTACTAGAAAACACTCGTAGGGGTAACTTGTATTCTTTGAATTACTGGATGTCCTTTCTCTTTCCTTCAGTAACTATGACTTAGAAAATAATTGTCACAAGATCTAGGAAATCTAACATGTTTGTCTATTTTACTGTCCCTGGCTAGCTCATTACATAGTGGATTAAAAGCAAAGATAAGACTTAAAATAATTTTTAAAAAATGCTTAGTGACCGGCACATGGAATTTCATTGTAGTAATGTAACACTTTAGTGATTGAGAGGTAGTTAATGCAGGTCAATTTTACTAATTAGTTACTTGGGAACTAGTTCCTATTTTACTCTGTAAACATAGTAACACTTCCATTTCCTAAGATAGTATCTGTATCTATTTGTCTGTCTGTTTAAAGGGCTATGTTTGCATAGCAACATTATAGTATATACTTAGAAATTTTAAACAAAGGGTTTCAGTGACTTCTAATCAATTTTTTGCATAAGTTTGAATATATGTCACATATATATGTAAATTCAGCCACAGAGGCAAAGCAATCCTATGCAAAAAGCATTTCATCCAGAGTCAAAGTTATTCCTTACAAATGAGAGTATGCTTTGGAAGGCTGTAGTCATGTTGTTAGGCAGTCCAGAGACCTAAACATATTTAATTTTTTGTGCTTACTTTGTTATTAGTAATTGAATTATGTGAACAGGAAGTCCAATTATTCAATATATTACACGTGAACACATTGTGTTATATAGCCATATATACGTACACGTACCTGTCATAATGGGGTTATAATAAATAGGAAAATTAACAAAATGAGTGATACTGAGAAATTATGCTCAATTTAAACCTTCATGATGCTCAGAGCAATCATGAATGTCACTCCCTCATGTAGACATTCTACCAGATTTCCTTTACACTTTTGCTGCATGACTTATCTAAGTCCAGCTGTGATCTTTAAATTCTATTTATTTTCTTCAATTGCCTAACGCTATTTATTTCATTTTCCACACCTAACTCTGACATCTTCAGTTTTCAAAATGTCCTTATTTTCTGCTCTAGAGTCACCATTTCTCTTGATTTCTAAGCCTCTCCTGTATGTCTCCAATCCCCTTGCGTTGCCTGTCGCCCACATCCTCAGAAGCCAGTGGAGGGAACATACTCCAAGGCCAGCTGGTTCCTGCTGACGGTGTTGCCATAGAGAGATGGACATGGCACGAGTCTGTACACTTGATCAGACATTACTTTCACCAGTGAGATGTTAATCCTTCCTCTAGGCACTATGATAATAAACACAGCAAAAAGGCAGTGAGCTTTATGTGAAAGAATATCAGAAGCCATGCTTTTGTTTCTGACTTGAGTGATGGACTACGACAAATTTCCAGCAATCACTTGGAAATAGGAAAATGCAATGTGTAAACACAAGTGACAAAATTTCAATGACAAAGTTATTTTCCTGAATTACTGTATATAAGAATACCATACATACAATTTGGGAGTGTAGGGAGTGAAGGAGACCTTATGAACTGAAATACTTCTATTATGGAAACATTTATATTTTATATGTACATAGCATTATCAGCAACATTTTTACAATTAAAATGTACAAAGTACAGATTTCAGAGACACTGATGTTGAGCTATTTTGAGATGCTATTTTCACACTTAAAGTGCTTGTGATTTTAAGTGTATTGTGGCTATGAAGCAATTAAGCTGATTTTTGATGAAGCTTTGGCATTCTATCCACTGACTCTGTCAACATAAAGAGTTTGTAGAGTGGGAAAATTTAGATATTTTCACCAGAGCATCTTGCCTTTGAACTTATTTTCAGTGAGAAATTTCAAATGTGTACATACAATTCCTAACATTTACAGGAGGCAGCTTCAAAATATGATTAGAGGAAAAGGGGGTAAAAGTAGGCAACGGAACAAAACATTCTCTCTTTGATGGCAACAGACCAGAGCACAAAGACAATGAAGTAAATTAATAAATCTGGATTCTATATCTAATCAGAAACTCAATATCATATTTAGAATCAGCAAAGTGCTAAGTAGTGATTCAGGGCCAAGATGATTTTTTTAGAGAGCAAAGCTAAAGAGTTTAACAGAGACAGCATACCTGTGTTCATTTTGACCTTGGAGGGTTTGTTAGTAAAGTCTTCAGTTTTCCTGTAGAAAGAAAATGATGCATAATTTGTTCACTAATATGTGGATCAAAATATTGTGAAAGTGTGTTTTTGTTTTTGATGTACATGTAACTTAGTGCTACATTACTGTTAATCTTATTTAAACCAAGATTTAATAAGGTGGGCAAAATTTATATTCTATTCAAGTCAATTCACTTATTCTTGGTCCTGTGGTCATAAGCAAAATTATGTATTTTTATACCCATAACGAATGGGTGGCAATGAGGCGAGGGAGGAAGGCAGGGGTCGGCACAGGAGCTTTGAGAAAGTTCCTTCAAATGTATTTATTTTAATCTCTCAGTAGCAAAACTCCTAATATGTTAACCTTAAATGGACAAAATAAATAGAAAAGTTGTCTCAGGGGACATCTGTGACCAGGGCTGAGGCAACTTCTAAAACAAGAAGGGCTAAATAACTTCCAGAAAATGAAAGAACAGTTTTCAAATTTTGCCTGATCACTCCTTTTGGAACTAGGGAATACTTTATGTTTACAGTGGGTATAGGTTTTAAAACTAAATGACAAAGGTAGTACTTGGGCTGGAATAACACTGACAGACAAAGACAATGCCAAACATGAAGGAAAGATAACTCAGAGCACAAAACCTGCTATCATAGTGTTTCCATAGCAGGTCAGAGAATTAATGATCAGCGTTTATTGTTTGAATGGAAAACGCAGATATTTACAAAATGGCTGACACTCATAAAGTAAAATGAGATTAAGGAGAACAGAGAAAGGCATCACAAATCCTCAAGCTTTTTGTCTTTAAAGTGATGTATCCTGTTACGTATTAATGTAATTTGTGAGGTTTTTTAAAACTTTGCATTGTCTTAGATGTCAAAATGTGAAATGACTAACTTCCTAATCAGGCAAGCCATTTTCCAAGCTGTTAAAAGAAGAGACATGGCGTTTGAATGCTCAAGAAAAACCTGAAACCAAAAGGCTTCTTGGGTGACTAATAAAAATGCATGATTCTATTTCCCTTATTTGTACAAAAGCCATTAACAGATTCATGGCTGAGAACTCTTTAGATAATTTAAACTAAAGGGAATCCAATCTCCTTTGTTCTGAAAAAGTGTCTTTGACTGTACTCACCTAACAAGCACAGACAATTCAGGAAAGCATCAAATTCCTAGAGGGTGGGCATCTACTGGAAGAAAACAGTATTTCAAGTGTTGTCTTAAGCTGGAATTGAACCAGGATCAAGACTACGATGGCTGACTATAGAAGACAGACGACCCTGAACCACAGAAGATGGTCCACAGAGCAAAAGGTGGCAAAATGATTTTTAATAGATTGTACGGTGCCCAGTGTACTTATGTTCAGTTCTTATCAAAGTTTTACACAAAAGCAACTTTGTATATATTCTAATTTGTGAAGAGCAATAGATATGTTTTGCTGAAGGGCCAGAGAAACCTTTGCTCCCAATGTGTATGTGGCAGTAGATTTTATTGGTGGTTCGTGCACGGGCAACAACCTGACTTCATGTCCACAGTTTTTTAATTCTACCTGGATTCCATTCAGTTCCCAGACACCTCATTATTTTTGTACAGCAGAAAAGGTTTTCTTTTCAATGTCCATGGGAGCATAGGCCGGGTCATTTAACTTTTGAGTGGGAGTCTACGAGGTTTGATAGTCCATGCATGGATGCCAACATGACTTTGTCTTTTTTTTTTTTTTTTTTTGGTTTTGGTTTTTCTCCGGTACCGGGAACCGAACTCACGACCTTGCGCTTGCGAGGCAGGCGCTTTTGCCGCTGAGCTAAATCCCCAGCCCCCGACTTTGTCTTATAAATCTTCTAAAAGTCCTTTGATTATCAAACATCCTCTTTTGAAGAGGAGCATAGGCAAAATCCCCAATTTTGACCAAGAATTCTGCATAAATCATTTTATTTGTGTAGACCTAAATTTAAACATCAAGGTCATCTATAAAATTAAAAGACACAAATCTGAGTTCTGTTAACGTGCGAGAATTGCCCCAAAAGACTTTCCATGGAATATTTTTGATTCAATAAATTGCTAAGATTATTTGAGATTAATCTATTTGCAGTTCACGTATTATTCAGAAGAAAGAACATATAGTCTAAGTCATAGGAAAACATTGTGACACGTTAGGTTTTTTAAGAGATACATTTTAAACATGAAAATAAAATATGGTGTACATTAAGATCAAGATTTTAACTTGAATCATGTATTTACTTCAAATTGAGATCATTTGTACCACTTTTTCTGGACACACTGCCCTACGTAATCAATGTGTCAATGTATTTCTTTTTCTCTTTGTGACTGAAGGAAGATTAGAAGTAATCATACATACTACATGAAACATGGTCAAATGACTAAGTAGCTTATTTTGTCTTTTATAGTCCCCAAGTTTAGAAACACTGGAATCCTCCTCATCCACTTTTTGAATACTTTCTTTAAATTTGTAGCCTGTATGTAATGCCAACTCAGAGACTCCTTCCTATTTTGTGGTACAAAAATTATCATACTGGTAAGGTCTCGATTGTCGGTGAACACTACAACCCTGCCTCTATCTCAGAACTAACAGTTCCTGAAGATAGGTACATGGTATTCAGGAGCCAAATGATCCACAACATTTATGCTTGTATGCCAAGGTCAGAATGCATTCAAAATCATTTCTAAGAACAAGAAGAAATCATTACCACCAATACTAAAGAAATGGAAAACATGAAGTCATTCATTTTTTGTTTGCTTTATTTTTGAATCAAAGTCCCACCAATCAAAGTCCCACCAAGTAGTTCAGGCTGGCCTTGAACTTGCTATGTAGCCCAGGCTGCCAATAAGAAGGCCATCATCAAGGGTGGCCCCTAAACATTATACCCCTAAAACTGTGAACAAATCTGTCTTTTCTTTAGAACCTGTCCAGCCTATACATTAGTAACAGAAAATGAACTAATGCAGATGGAACATGAAGTCAGGCAGGCATGGATTCAAATACCAGGTCAGCCCATTTCTATGCATTTAAACAAACTATATCAATGCATTGTCATCATCTTTTTCAACAGCTCTCACAGAGTTAGGCCTGTCCTCCCCACCAACAGCATCTGTTCCTAATATGGTGAATGGTATCATTCTTATTCACCAATATTTCAAATATTTTGAAGCAGACCCTCCCCTTTGGTTATATATTAACAAAATAACTTTGACTCCCCTGAAAATATATGGGACATTATTGTATTGCTTTAGATTGAGTAAGCCACATGGTTCATTACATTAATTTGCATGGATTCTCCCATTTCTCAAATATCCCAGTCTCAGTTTAGCAACACGTTGGAATGGAGGAGGAATTCTATTTTCCAAGCAGATTTTCCTTCTTCTTTAAGAAAGTCCTTCATTTGGCTGAGATTTTTTTTCCCCACATTGCAGTGAATATAAGGAGACAGACCTAACTTAATAGTTGAATCAAATACTTGCCTCTAAGTCTAGATATAGTCAAAGCTACTGAATCTAAGGGAAAATGACACTAAAAGCTTGTGATGATTAGCACTTTAAAAAAATCTTTCCTGTTACACTTGACAGCTTATAACCCAAAGGAGTGGTAGGAGGAACAGAAATGACTATAAGTGTCACATAATGAATCGTGACAAATTGCGGAGTGGTAACGTCCTGCCGGCAGCCATTTCTACATGGCTCACGAAGTCAAAGTCTCTCCTGTTCTTCCTACCGTTGTACAGAGAAGTGCAGTTCCTATTCTGAGGGGGGCATCTCTGATCTTCTGGAAGAACTTTTTTAAAGTCATGCTTTTAACTTCCCCATTTAAAATTGTTAAATCTTCCATTTTAATTTTTATGTACTGATACCACAGATCATCTGACATAGAAAAATTATTTTATTTACTTTAATTTTGCATATTTCATACTAAGAATTTAAGTGGGGGCAAATGTTCAGTGCTCTGATAGCAATACAGAAATATCATTTTTTGTGCATTTTATTTTTAAAATTTCAACTCTGAAAGAAACCTTAGATCACTCACCTTGTTTTTGAGGTTAGATGTTTGAGGACAAGAGAAATGCCTATGCCAACATATAATAGTAAAAGGCCAACATTCAAAAGCAGGCAAGTTCTCTTGACTTCAGCAGAGAACAAACATCTTCCCTTAAAGCCTTTAAAAGTGTTCGCACTCCAGTCCACCCCCTCAAAACATCACAGTGTAGTGCTTAACCAAAGGTTCAATCATATGAGGTAGGGTTTAGTGTAAGAACAAAATACCAGAACTGTTCTTGAAGGGCAAACTGCTTGATGAATAAAATTGGGGCTTTTAACATAGGACCATATGTTTATTCCTCTAAGACTAAAAGGAAAATAATGGTTTCTTGTGATAAGCATCCTTCTTGCCCAGATGGAACCCCAAATGGAAGGGATTATTTTGGTTTACTAAGCCCAGAGCAAAAGCTATTTCTATTTTTTTCTGAAAACCTCAGAATTTTAAGAAGTATGCTTATTTTAAAGTGTTTTGATGGCAGTGCTATTTTACAAAATTACTACAGTTCAATAATCCTGCTTATTGTTAATTGACTATTAAGAAACAGACACATTTTCTTCTGATTTAATACACCTGTTTCCTGAACACCTGAAAAAATATTTATATAGGTAGCAATGCCAAAGTTTATTGCATATTGCCAGTATTACCTTAAATGTGTGTTTATATGTGTCTCCAGCGTGTGATGATAAAACCCTACTTACTCTGTAGAATTTGAATTTTACACAAGAATGTAGTCAAAATTTGCCCCAATTTGGTCTTTTAATCTTAAATTTTAAATTTGCGTTTCCTACAGTGTTTATCCAGACTGAAACTGTGTCTTAAATCATTTTATGTACAGCTTAGTGTAAGTTGACTCATTTTAGAAATTCCAAGGAAGAAAATAATGGGCCAAGGGGGTAAAATACTGTCTTTGAAGAAATGTTGAATTTATTAAATTCTGAATTTTTTGATATTTTGGTTGAACAGCTGCGGTTGGACAG